AAAACCCAACTATCACACTTGACACAAAAATAACAAAAAAAATAACACAAAAGCTGCACAACTGATTCATACACTGGACTTCCCACAAAATGGCCCCTTGCAACAAGCAGGAACCTCGCAGACAATCAGGCACAGCTGATTGTCGCAAGCATTTCACCCCTGAGTTGAAGTCCCCGGCTCCTGAACTTGAAGAGATTTTAGCATTTGCATTCACTAAGTTGTAGGAGATGAGCACGCTGAGCCCGAGGGACGAGGGGTCAAGCATGTTATCAGTCTTGAGACCTTTGGCACCCACAAGAGATCTAAGTCCAGTCCATCTTGAATTCCATTGACTGTTATCTACCACCAATTTGCTTTGACTGTTAGTAGTTCAGGTTCTTGAAGAAAGCATTAGCCTGTCGTTAGTAGCTCAGGTTCTTGTACAAAGCATTAGCGTGTCATATTCATTTGAACCGCCCTGGCTCCTGATTTCCTGCACTTGGCAGTAAGTTGACACAGAGTGAAGGCAAATGCTCGGCTTGTGACCTTCTTGGTTAAGCTCATTGTGCAAATCACAGCTAAAATTCCAGCTTCTCCAAGCAGCAAGTTCAGGAGCTCCTGAACTAAAGAGAAGGCTGGGTTACCTAACCTTACAGATCCCTTCTGATCTTGCAGTCGGATGATCTGGAAGCCAGCAATCCTGAAAACAGCTGCACTGTCAGCAAAGAGCTAAGCCCTTGATGCCATAAAACATTGGAAGGTGGCAAGCATGAGGAGGAGGGAAGGGAAAGGAACAAGAAACAGTTCACGCTAGCGAACAAAAGAGCTCAGCCTGGCATGGCTCATTGTCTTATAGACAACAATGAGAGAAATCTCCCGAATAATTAGCTCCTTTGCAGCAAACTGACAGATCCTTTCTTTGCTGGGCTAATCTACGGGAGGCCTCGTGTTCTTTCGAGACAAGGCAGCTTACACATTAAACTTTGACTTTCTGTCCGTTCCCCTTTTTGAAGTGCAATGCTTTTCTGGGGACACACAACTGTACAGACGAGGGACACCAGTCAAGGACCCATGTTCTGGTGGATGCTAAACCAGAATATGAACCAAGATCACTTGGGAATCCGGTCTTCAGCCATAGTTAATGCACTGAGTTCCCCTTCTGAATCTTACATGAGCACCATCGTTGCTACAAAGGGAGTGGGCTTAACAGACAGGTAAATAATCAGACAGACATATGGAAGGCCTTTGGGTGAATTATGTTACGATTTCCTCAAACAAGGGTTTTGAAATGATTTGTTTTTTTGTGGTTCATCTTACTTTCCCCTGCAGGAAAAGAAGAAAATATTCATTGCCTTCTGGGTCCTTGCTGCTGCCTGAGCTTGGTGGTTTTCTTACAGACATTTCATGAACCTGCTAGGTAACATCATCAGGGCTAGAAGGAACAGTATATAAACAGAGAGCAAAGCTCACTCCTTTCTAGCCCTGATGGTGTTACCTAGTTGGGTCGTGAATCGTCTGTAAGAAAACAACCAAGCTCAGAGAACACCAAGGACACCACAGCCCTCCTCCTCCCCTCCACATACCCCACTCTCTTGTAGCACTGATGATATTACCTAGTGGGGTAATGAAACGTCTGC